CTCCTTACACATAAGTACAGTATGAAAAAAAAAAAATAAAAAAAAGTTATCGACACAGTCGTGGGAGTATGGAGAATATGATATGATGTAATACTCAATTGTTATAGTGATAGAAAGAATAAAAAGTGCGACGAAGAAAGCTGAGTGGGTGTGACTGGTATGCTAATTGATATTTATATTCATTAAATTAATAAATAAATATGAGTGTAATAAAAAGCACGCTAGGGGATTTAATGATGTTTATCGTGAGTACAATGTAGATAATTAATGTAATGAACATTAATAGAGAAGTGGTAAAATCACATCACACCGAAATTATCCGGCGTGTCAAGGTGATAATTGCGCAGTAACTCAACTGCACCTACATGTCGCTGGCAAAGTACTGCGATCTATAATCGACCCAACCAGTAATCTATACTTATCCCACATTATAATAACCCTAATAATTACTACATAGACAATCCAGTACTGAATAAACTAAACCAACATAAACTCTTCTCTGATTAAAATTAAAAATCACTAACAAACAATAATTATAATTGTAATTTTAAATATATAAACACTTAAAATAAATTACTGCTAAAAATTGCTAATAAGCAGTAAACAAAAGTAAAAGTATTGATTAAATATAAATATTCATAGTAATAATATAAATAATATACGCGTAAAGTAAAAGCAAAAATAAATTACAAAAAAAAAAAAAAAAAAAAATTAGATCAAGTGCGCGTTTGGTGATTTTGAACGACAGGAGTTTAATGTCTGGTGGCGCGTAAAAATCTCCGATGCAAATGTCAATAAAAAGGTCAACAGCCGTTGCGTAAAACTAGATTAAAAGAATCGAAAATTAATAAATAACAAAGGTGGGTTGGAGTTTATCTTTTATGACAACAATTTGTGTTTTTAAAAATTACTTACCGGCTATCGTGTCGTTAACAAAGTTTAAACTGCGCAGTTCACTATGCTAGTCTACAGTCTAGCTGAAGACAGGCATCCAGGGACCGCGTATTACCACTGGGAGCCCCCCATCGAGACAAATAAATACCAAATACGACACACGATCTACAACGGCCACGAGTTCAAGACGATGATGATGACGATGACAACTTTTATCGGGAACTCATTTTTATCGACGCGATGTTCGCGTTAACTAGCGCCTCGCCGCGGTAAATTCATATTCGGATCTATTTACGTGTATTGCGCACTACATGTTTCATTATTGTGATACAAGTTATATCAGCAAACTTGACAGTTTTTTCACCTGTGATAAAAAAATGGCATCAGAAAATTTTTCATTACTTGCTAGAAATTAATAACACTGAAATTAGCCGTCAGCTGTCAATTTAAAAAATTTTTTTAACAAATCAATTACTATAAAAAAATGCTTCTAAAAATTTTCACTTTTAATTTTTATTAATTTTCACATGTGGAACTTTTTAATTGTATTTTTTTTATAATAATTTAATTGCTATAAAATTCTAAAAAAATTTTTTATATCTGTCAACTTCAATGTCATAGCAATTATTAATATGACATTAAATTTAACTGTCACTTGATAATTTTTTTTAATAAATAAATTTGCTCCAAAAAATTATTTCTAAAAAATTGCATTTGTAATTTTTTAAAATTTCTACATGTCAATTTTTTGTTCTTATTTTTTTTGCCATAATTTATTTGTTAAAAAAATTCTTAAAATTGTTAAATATCTGCTAAATTGATTCTCATATTATTAATTTATATTTAAAAAAAATAATTATCTTACGTTCATTAATCTCATTGTGGATTTTTCATGAAAAACTTTCTTGACTTTCACCAAAAAATGACATTTTTTCTAAGATTGACAGACTGAATTTAAAACTGACATTTTAAATGGAGTTTCGTTATTTAAATAAATTTTTTTTTTTAAATATCCGACTTTGTAATTATTAATTATTGCCATTGTTTATTTATTCAATAATTAATTAGTAATAATGTTGTTTACTTAGTGAAACTTCAACTGTTTATCGCAGTCACGCGTGACTGAAACGCGAGCATAAGCGCGACGACGGTGAAAACTCAAAGCTTAAGTGCGCGCGCAGGAACTCCAGGCGCCAGTTTGACGGAGTGGACTAATCTAAAGTTAAACGAATAAAAACATCCTCACCCTCTTCTATATAATTCTGATACCTCTCAATGCTGCATATGAACAACCATACTCTCCCCTTACCCCGGCACGACCAATCTAATATGACCTACAAGCCCAACGTCATTCTAAGAAACGCCCTTGTCTAACAAATAAAATCATTATCATTATCACAGCTCTAAAAAATTATTAATTTAACTTTTTTTTACTTTTGCTAAATTTGTAATGAGAATAAAATAAAATAATTTTGTCGTTGAACAATTCTCAAAAAAACGTTTTGAAAGCGAGTTTGCGTCAGCCTGAGCAACACTTTGTTCTCTTTGTTATCTTAATTGACAAAGAAATAAACTCACCATCTCATTCTCAAAGACACAGATGTTGTCCACCTCCATTGTATCTACTGTCACCTCGCGGTCTAATTAACTGGAGACGATATATTATTATTGGTGTTGATGAGGATTATGAGCACTTTGTTGCAATAATAAACTTGGCGAATCACAAAGACAGCGTGTGTCTGTTTACAAACACCACAAGGTCACTCACTAGCCAACAACAAACGATCCTATCGCCGTCTCTCTTGACTGCGCGTGGACCTTGCGCATTGCGTCATCGCTGCGCACGCATTCTGGGGCGAATTTTTAAAACTCAATAAAATATGAAAATTAAGTTAGCCGACACTCCAAAATTTTTTATTTTTTTATTAATTAAATAATTTTTAAAATTTTCTACATGTGAGAATTTTTATTGTAATTTTCTTAGAAGTATTTTTCAACGATATAAATTATAAAAATTTTTAAATGTCGGCTAATTTAATTTTCATAATAAAATTTTTTGATAATAATAAAGTTAGCCGACATTTTTGATTTTTTTATTTTGCTTAATTTATTAAATTATAACTAAAAAAATATTTTTAAAAAATTGCACTTACAGTTTTGTAAATTTTTAACAAATGAATATTTTTTTTTTTGTAATAATTCTTTAAAAAAAAAAATCATAAAAATTTTTAGACGTCGGCTAACTTTATTTTTATAAGTTAGCCGACGTTTCTAATTTTTTTATTTTTTTCCATTTATTCAATTGGACCAAAAAAATATTTTTTAAAAATTGCACTTAAAGTTTTTCAAGTTTTTTACAAATGAAATTTTTTTTTCTTAGTTTTTTGTAATAATTTTTTTAATAAAAAAAATTCTAAAAGTTTTTAAATGTCGGCTGACTTAATTTTAATAATTTTTTGTACAATTAATAAATGTGAATGGAGATGTATGTTGATTTTTAGAATCTTTAAATAAAAAAAATTTAATTAAATTAAAAAAATATTTTTTTTAAGAAATTAAAATTTTTTAAATTTCAGTTGGAAAGAAATACATATTTTTTATGATACGGAAATCAGCAGAAATTTGATGATTTTGTTTTATTTAAAAAATAAATTAGTACCGCAAAAATGTTTTATAAAAATTGCATCCATAATTTTCTGAAATATCTACAAGTGGAATTTTTATTCAAATTTTTTTTTTACAATAAAAATTGTTGACTAAAGTTATGAAAATTTTCAGATGTCTGCTAATTTTAGTATCAGTTTTTTAAAGAATATTTTTAAAAGATTTTTAATTGTCAATTTAAAATTTTTATAATTTTTTTTGTATATTTATATTTATTTAATTTCATTTTTTAATAATTTAATTTTCATATAAATTTTTCAAATGACAATCAACAATTTTTTAGTTTCACAATCATGTAATATCAAAATGTCAGGAAAATAAAATATTTAAACTGAAAAATTGAAATATTAAAATTAAAAATAAATTAGCAATGGACAGTCAAACTATTTACAACCCTCTAATGGATCCGGAATACCAATGGCTATTGCATATATGCATTAATGCATTTAATGTGTGTCTAACCATGTTTCACAAGCCTTTGTTTGATCATATTACTAATGCAAGAGTACAAAATCGATGTAAGTAAATTATTTAAATATAATCGATAATTATAATATTTCTATAAATTTCTAGCTGTCGCAGAAATAATTTCTTACCCGATTTTCATGATAACTCTGGACCTTCTGATGTACGCAAGCCTGTAATTTTATTTATATAATTAAGACAGTATCAAGAGGTATTTAAATAAAGTACAAAATGGAGTGTTGTAAAAAATATTCAAAACTTATATTTGAAGACGCCTTATTGGCAAGTGGATGCCAAATTTTACAATACATTTATCGTCACAATTTTACAATAACTATTAAAAGAACAGAAAAAAATTATAAAGCTCTGACGGTTTATATATCACTCTTAAAAACAATATTTATATAAATCTATATTTATAGGTCAATCATTTTCTCAAAAATATAATCAGACTCATTTATCTCATGCACACATAAACATAAACATAAATACTCTGTTTTATTTGTCTTGTCCTGTCAACTATAAAAAAATTTGTTTCAATTGTCAGCTTAAGATAAAATTCATTTCTAAAGTCAAAAGTCACTACCATTATTTACTATTTTTCTCAGATAAAATATTATTAAACACAAGAATTAAAAGGAAAAATCAATAAATCGCTGATACCTTTGGAAATTTTACAAAAATTAATTAAATTGGTGAATTTTCGTTCTGAATTTACAATAATAAAAACCTCTCGATTCTTAGCACTATGTACAAAGCCTACCACACGTTAATTTGTTCATAATTTATGTACCTGTACATATGTTTACCCACTACTCATATCTAAGTATTGATTTAAATATATTTACAACTGTCAGGCAATTTTAAAATACTTATTTTTATTTTATTCAGATTTTAAAAACCGTAGGAACGAGTTGGAAGTATTTGTTCAAGTCGATGGAGTAGAATCAGCATCAGTCGTAGATTATCAATTAACATTAATCACGGGACAACCAATGTGGTTCATCTTTTGATATTTTACTCAATTTATCATCCTTTTTATTGTGATAATGTTGATGATAATCGCTAGGAAATCCAACATACTGATGAGAAGATTTAGATTTTTGGAACGGTGAATGACTCGGCGAGTACTTGTTCTCCTGCAGCTCCTGAAGTTCTTTGAGCGAGCGCATCACCATTTGAACATCTTTATCCTGCTCACTCGGTGGAAATGTGCTCGCGTAAACCAATCCGTCATCAATCAAACTGGGCTCTTTCCGCTTACCCTCGCTTGTTGATCTCGGAGACTCCTCGTTTATTATCTGGCTGAGAAAATTGGTAGCAGCCTCTGTTTCCTCAATCTGCCTATCAATCTCCTCTTGAGATAGCCCCAACTTGGGCTGGAGAATACTTGAGACCTCATGTTTCGTTATAGATGAGGACTGCTGAGGTAAATCCATTGTTATTATTTCCTTGCGTCGTTTTTTCATATCACCCGATGATTTGTATTTATCCTCTATCCAACGATCGCATTTTTTATCCTTGCTATCAGCGGTATTGACACCAACAGTTTCAATAATATCGCGGTCGTCTATCCTCTTGTCAGTATTGTCATTAAGTATCCGATGTTTAAGTGGTAAAGATTTAGATCCAGAATTATTAGACACTAGAAATCCAACTTTAGCGGTGTCTGAGAAAGGTGTTATCGAAACAACGTCTTTTTTAACTTCATCCAATTTATTGGCTTTCTGGTAATCATTAACCGGTGTTATTGAAACAGTACTACTAGTTAAATTAAGTGGATTAAATTTATCAGAATGAGCTTTAGGTTTTTGTGCCATCAACTGAGACGTAGGTACCACAGATATTTTAGCTATTGGCGCTGGTACGCTGTTATCCAGATGACTAGACGGCGTTGATCCCTCTCGTATTTTATCTTTGTATTTACTGGTATTGTTTGTTTGTTTTTTCTCGGCTGGTACTGCTGTTACTGCTAATGTCGTAATTTCTGATGATTTAACGGCTTGCGAAGAAGGTGACGTATAATTTATATTGTCTAAAGAACTAGAACTTTTTAAATTTGTCGGTGTCTTAGAACGTTCTTGTTGATTTAAATTATTGATATTTGTATTGGTACTTGGTGTGTTTTCCAATCTCGAGGTACAATTATTAGTAACTATTTGAGCGTTGTTCGCTTGTACGTTATCCTTTGATTTTTTCAGTTTTCTTTTGCCACTGCAACAAAGTCATTCAGTTTTGTGGTATTTTTTTTTTTATTTTAAGCCGATAAAGGATTACAAGGTGCAGTATTAGAGTGAAGAAAAAAAAAAAGCTTAAGATGTTTATTTTAATAACAAAATTTAATAATGCATACAAAAAATTATCCACTCATTTATCATTCACAGAATGAAATTAAAAAAATAATAAAATATTAATTGTTAACAGAAATTTTATAAATGAATGATTTTTTTTTTTTTTTTTTTTTTTTTTTAATGTCGTAACTAAAGAATTTAATGGAAACTTTGTTAAATAAATTGTTAAACGCATTCGTTAAATAAATAAATAATGAACAGAAAACATGGCACACATTTAACGCAGCTGACTAAAATAACGATTTTTTCTTCTTATTACAAAATAAAAGTAACAACTAGACTACAGAAAATTAATCTAAAATCGTTGGTTTGAGCAAAGAAATAAGGCTAAATTTAATCCAGTACAACGTAGACCCTAAAACATACAACCACCAGAAAAATAAAATCTACGTGCGTGAAAGTCAAAAAAATTTGTGAAAGTTAATAAATGATCGTTTTTTACAATAAATTATTAGAACTCAATAAAAAGCATCAATAATAAATAATGTTTCAATTAAATTGACTCGTGCAGATATATACAGATGACAGTCTGTGTAAACTGGTCAAAGCATTGAATATAAAGCATTAGTAGATCATGAGTATTAAAAAATATATATATGCTTACGGTGTTTCTGGAGTAGAGTACTTTAATAGAGTTTCGACGGTTACCCAACCCTTGGGCCAGAGCGGTAAAATTTTACTCTCCATGAATGTTGAGACAAATGAATCCATATTTTCTTTCCTTGGCTTTCGAACCTTGTAATATTGGCGCCATACTGTTGCTATGTCACACACCGCTTTCCTAATAAATTTAAAATTCATTTAGCATTATTGTATCTTAAATTATTATAATAAAAAAATAATTTTTAGAAATGTTTGTTACATCGCGTGCCAAATGCCAAAAGGACGTATTACAGCAGTTAGATAGGGTTCCATGCCAAAAGGGCGCATAAAAAGATTTTTTTTGCCATTCTTTTTAGAATCGCTTGAAACGTAAAAATCTGCAGAAAAAAAATTTTTGATGTACTAACGCCGAAAGGGCGTATCTTAAGATATACTCCCTTTTGGCTTTAGGAAATTATCGGTCTAAAGCCAAAAGGGCGTATAAAAAAAATCAGGATTTTTCATAATTTCGAACAGTCTTCAAAATTGTCCGGAGAAAGTTTGTGAAAAAAAAAATTTGAAAAAGTCAACATTTCGATAGTAGTAAATTTAAATTTTTATCATTTTGGACAGACCAATAATTAAAAAAGCATATGAATTAAAAATTTTTTCGCGTACAGTACTCCCTCCCTAAGATATAACAGGTTATCTTTTTTTCTCTTGTTAGTAACTAATGAAAAAATTGCGATAGAGCTAAAATATCTTAGAGGGGGGGGGGGGGAGCACTGTACTAAAATTTTTATATTTTTTATAAATTTCCTTCTATTTCGTTGCGCAAAATTGTTGTTAAAATCCATAATATGTATATAAAGAGTGAAAAACACCTTATTATAAATACGAAATTATTAACCAATCGTTAAAAAATTTTTTGAGCTGAGTATAGCTGAATATAGATCGGATGAAAACTCTATTTCCGAAAAACGGGGTAAAACCCATATAATCCCAATTATAGAAAATTTTTAATTTTCTTAGCGGGAAGTCAAAAATTATACGTCCTTTTGGTTTTAGATCACTAAATTTTCAGTGTTCCAAAGCCAAAAAGGCGAATAACTCGAAACATACGTCCTTTTGGCTTCGAAAAAATTTTTCATTTTTAGACTTAGAACATGTTTACAAAACGATTGGCACCAAAAAAAAAAAAAATTATACGCCCTTTTGGTATTTGGCACGCGACATGTGATTCGGTAATATTACATTAATAAAAATAATGTTATTCTTACTTGGCTTCAGATGTCCACGGGAATCGCTTGCGTGGGAAATTTGATTTCTTAGATACTTTTTCATTTCCATCACTGCTATCTCCATCAGACACCGGAGCTTCAAAACTCCTGAAAATATCATAACTTTATTAATAATCCAAATTTTTAATAAATTGTATAAGATATTAGTTGAAAATTGATCGCTATAAAAAATCTAAAATAAATATGACTCGAATGATGTGACTAATGATTGAAATAATGATACTGATGATAAATAGCCCCATACCTCTTTCTGCATTTTACATTTCGATAATTTTATAGTGAATTAACATAACTAATGATGGTGCAAAGAAAATAAAGAAAACAATGATATAACCGTTAGAACAAAAATTATATACAATTAATGAATTAATGAATAATAATAATAATTAAAAAAATAGAAAGAGGTTTGTTTGAGGGGCGCCTTACCCACAGTACCGGTATATCTCCCAGTATAAGTGAGGGCTGGGAAGTAAAAAATTTCAGTAAGTATTCAAGTGTAAAAAAAAAATTAATTTTTCTCTTGTTAAAAATATTCATTTAATTTTTTTGATAATCCCTTGATAATCAATTAAACAAAATAAATATCTTACTTGTCTTCAGCAACTCTGCGACACTCTTCTTCAAACTTTGAAACAGCGGCTGGCATTAATTGCTCAATTATCGCCTTCAACCTGAAACAGCATTGAACTTTACGAGCGTGGGTAATTTTTACTCAATCGTGGTTATTAACAGATCGTTAAAAAATGTTATGCCACGTATAAACAAAATAAAATTTGTTAATCTACCTCTCCATTGGTTCTCGGACTTTATTCTCGGCTTCTTGAAGGCTCAACTTTTTAATCCGATTGCTCAAAGTGTTTTTGCTGCACGACATAAGAGGCGCGAGGTTAGTGTAGACCTGATTCCTAACTGCTGGTGAATCCATTTGCCTCAATTTTGTATCCAAGCTAAGGTAGAAAAATAAAGTTAGATTTAATGTCTGTAGCGATAAATAACTTTTATAATATAAGGTTAAAAACACTGGCCTTGTTTATTAACACTTGCAATTTTATTCTAATTAAAAAAATAAAATGTACTCAAAAAATCAATTATCTTAAAATTTATAATTCAAAAATTATATTTATTAATTTATTAGAGTCGATTTGTTTTATTTAATTAAAATAAAATTGCAAGTGTCAATAACTGGGTCTTTTACCTTAGTTAATATTTATAAAAAAAAAAAAAAAAAGTAAGTAAAATAAAAATTACTTGAGTATCGCAGAATTAGCGTAAGCATCGAAAAATTTAATTTTTCCATCTTTGTTATTACTCTCGACGTGTTTTTTAAGTTTGTTAATTATTTCCTTAACATCCTCAGGTAAATTATCAGGCATTCGACAATCGCTTTTATCCCCGTCCTCGCCCTCCGAAGACGTACCAGCAACAACAGACCGTGACTTGTTCGAGTCCACGGTATCTCTACTGTCATCATCATCAGCCTTGCCATCATTAACGACACTTTCAATAGCATTATCAACATTACTATCTTTAACCATTAACTTTTTTCCATTGTCTAATTTTTTATTATCATCTAAACCATTAGCCACTGGCTTTTTACTAATTTTTTTCGCAACATCTTTTGTTTTTATAACATCACAGGATAATTTTTTTCTTTGCTCTTGATTAGTATCAGACGAAATATCAACTTCCATGTGATCTCGCTTATCATCAGAATTCTTCTGTTTATTTAAACTATCTACAGTCGACTCCTCGGTTAACTTCTTTTTTTTCTTAATCATATTGTCATAATTAACTTTTTTCTCTCCATTTTCATCTAATTTTGATTTCTAAAATAAAATTATATTTAATTATATATACTATGTCACTGTGAATGCATACAAACATCTAGACTAATTGAGAGATAAATACTTTGGGAGCTGGCTCAACAATTTCTTCATCATCTTCTTCAGATGAGCTGGCTAATCGGCTATCTCTTCTTTTAGGCGCCGGGCTGTTACTATCTTCGTCATCATCACTACTCTCGCTGCTGCTCGATTCATTATTAGTATGATTAAGAGTACGTGCCAGAGAAACTTCTCCTTCTTTAACAGCAAATTCTAACTTCCCCCAATTGATGTAGAAACCTCCGTGTGCTGTTGTTACTCCAAGAGGGACTATTTCATCATACTGTTTTAAAATAAATTATTTTATTAGCGTTAAATAATAATCAAATTTGTAATCTAAGAAAATTTTTTGTAAAAAAAAACTTACAGCATCTGTGTTATCAATAAACGAATCATTTTCATCATAACCAGCTCCAAGATCAACATCATCATCATATTTTTTCTTTTTCTTTTTCGTTACATTGCTCGTACCCTAGAAACAAGTTTCATTAAATTTAATTATTTATTTATTAAAAAAAAAAATCTCTTTTAATAAAAAGAAATACATACATATTTAGCTTCAAATTTTTTAGCAATCTCGGTCATCCGCTCCTCATCATCATCATCGAACGGGTCCAGCCCATTGGTATTTTTGTTCTCCTTACTCCTCTTTTTCTATAAAAAAAAAAAAAAAAAAAAAAAAAAAAAAAAAATAAATAAGATTGCAGTGAAAATAAATACAAGTCGCGATTCCCAATTCTTATTTATCCAACCGTAAAATTACCCGGTTCGCAATATCCCACTTCAAATCCACCGCGCTAGAAATACGTATATACATCTAAGATCATGTGAGTGTCATATATTCGACTTAGGGCAGTAACCCGCTTCGAAGACTCTCTTTCTCATATCACCAGTATACAGCGGCACATAGCACGAAGTTGTGGTTTAAATCCATAATAATAAATAGTAAATTGCATTCGCTCGAGTATCGTCTCACTCTATATCGTACTTTCACCGCCCATCTTAAACTTAAATTCACCTTATTTTCTTCAACAATTTATCGCTAAAATATTTTCTCAAAAAAAAAAAATATTAATCTCACGGAATATTATTTTTTAATTTAAAATCCAAGTTATTACTTTATAATTTAAATATTTTAATATTTAATTTCAAATTCCATGGTAACATGCGTGTATAAATAATTTTTATAATAAAAAGATAAATGTGTAAATTAACTAGTAAAAGATGAGCAAAATGTACGAAAGTATCAGGAAAACATGGATATACTGTCGTTATACCTGTCTCGCGTATATTTTTAAACTTATATTACAGTTATAAACTTTCCAATCTCTTCTATATCTATATATATATATATATATATCTATACACTAACAGTCGTATTGTAGAACTACCGTCACTTTATACAATACATCGGGGAACCAGCTCTTTCAGCATGCTCTTCTGATAAGAGGACGCCGAATCGATGGGCGTCTTTCATCAGACCGCTTTTATTTACCTCATTGACAATTCGTAAATACATCATTCAAGTTAAACTTTGCTTCCTAAAATAAAATCGAGTATTTATAATAAAACAAAACTAAATTCAACTTATCATAAATTATTTAAAAAAAATATTAAGCAATTAATTTTCCTGATTAAATTAAAACTGAAATCGTTATCAAAGCGCAATTTGTTATCAGCAGACAAATCGCCTGAAAAATGTTTTTTAATCATTAATTACGAATAATTAACTAACAATAAATATACGGCGTAAATATAAAAACCATCGAAACACAAACATAAAAAAATAATTTATATTATAAAATGTTACGCATGCATGGTCACGTTAATCCGCATAATAATAATAATAGCAGGGTTTAGTGTCCTTCTTTCATAGTACATACATATAGCGAAAGGAAATTACAATTCAAGTATCATTACACACATACAGAGGTAAATCTGTGTATGCAAAAGGTGTAAGGCTCTTGATACAATACAAGGTGCAAGTATGTGTGCATATGCAGTGCTCAGTGTTTAGATAAACGAGATATATCGTAGAGATGAGAAGGAGTCTCTTGGTATCTAGATTGCACTAGGCAGATGGAGCAGATGTTTTATTACAAATGACCATACTAAAGACATTGACAACCCACTGAGCTAAATATTAATATTAATATTAATATCAAGTACAGTAAATTTCCAGGAATTCCATAATAATAATAATCATTATTATTATTATTATTATTATTATTATTATTATTATTATTATTATATATTTAACAGCTGAAACAAGAAAATACCGGATGTTATTTTATAAATTAAAGGATTATTTTTTTGTTTAGTCCATTAATCTGTCAAGTAAAACTGCATTAAATCGATCTGAGCCTCTAGTCTTCAACTTGTGCCAATTGAAGGTTTAATACACAACACACATATACATCTTGTCTTCTATGTATGTGTATATACACAAGACAACATACAACATACATATATGTATGTAATAAGAACGACTGACGCCACGTAGTAACAATGAAAAAAAAATATAAAAATAATTATTTTCCGTAGCTATCTTAATATTTTTAACGAAATAGATAAATTTATAAAATTCTAGGCAACTAGACGCTTATCATCAGCAGTAGAGAGAATGAAAAAAATATGACGAAGTAAAATAAAAATTAAAGTTTGCTGAGGTGAAATGGAATCCATAGTTTTTGCGCGATCAAGAGTTTAACCAGCAAGACAATAATTTCTAGCCGGGATAATCACAATCCGGTGTCAGAGGCTTACGCGAGGTTTGTTTATCATCGGGCTCGTAGGCGGCAAGAGTACCTGCGTTAATCGGGAGTATAATATTATTATTTAGGCAGTGATAACCTTTTTAGATACTGACCTCGGCGGATTTTAGGAGCTGAGTGTAGTTAAACTCAGCGTATGCCGTCTCGTTCTTGTCATCCAGACAGAGCTCTAAGCGTATGGAGGGCGCGAGCTGTTTGCCCTTTTCTCTTTTTTTCTCCTTAGTTGCGTTACCCAAGGAACCCGCTGATTCCAGGCTCTGTGTCGGCACTCGTTTTACACCTTCGGACATTATTATACATATGGCACGTCACTATTTTAATTAGATCACGGACTATCACGGGCACTGCAATAAACCACTTGGGGACACAACAACGTGGTCCTTCTTTTTAAACAATGTACCGACATGAACACCATTCGGACCAGTTGTAGCAGCACGTCGGCTATCTTCAGTTTTCAGTAAAGACTGTTTTTAGAGTGCGCTAGTAGTACTCACCAAAGACCACCACCGTCAACATTTTCTAATGTGTGTATTACTGTGTACTAAGCGGCCATCCTACTTGCATTGTTATTTTATTAATCCATGTTTATTTACTAATTTTATCACTAGCGGAAGGTTAAATTTTTATTGTTGCCATTTTAATTGTTTATTTATTTATTTATTGAATATGATTATATCAGCGTGATAATTTATTGACAGTTTTAGGTTATAAAAAAATTTTTTTACCAATAAAATTATTTTACTGATGTTTAATTTATTCTTTATTTAATTATACAACTACTTTCACTCCTATTTTAAAATAGAAAACTTATTAAATTGTTTTTTGTAACTTTTAATATAAATATTCTTATTAAAATTAATTTAGCATGACATTCAAGTTAACTGCCACATGACAATTTTTTCATTTTTTTAACAAAAAGATTTATTCCAAAAAATTATTTTTAAAAAATTTCATTTTTTATTTTTTAAAATTTCTAGATGTCAATTTTTTTTCTTACTTTTTCTTGCCATAATTTATATGTTAATAAATTTTCAAAATTATTATATATGTGCTACATTAACTTTCATTAATTTAGCAGATATATGATAATTTTAAGAATATTTTTAACAAATAAATTATGGCAAAAAAAAATTTGTTAAATAAAATTAAAAAATTGTCAAGTGATTGCTAATTTATAAAAATTAATTCAGCAGATACCTACTCTAAAGTTTTTAGAAATTTTTTAACAAATAATTATGGCAAAAAAATTGACATGTAGAAATTTAAAAAAATTAAAAAAATTAAAAATGCAATTTTTTAGAAATAATTCTTCAAAACAAATTTGTTTATTAAAAAAATTAAAAAATTATCTAATGACTGCTAACTTTAATCTCATATATTCTTAAATTTATTGATATTAAATGTAAAATCTTACCAACACAGTTGGTCATTTTTTTTATTTTATTGTCACAGACCATTTTGAAAAATATTACACAGCGGAAATGATTAATTATTAAATTGATTTAAAATTTAATAAATAATTTTTAATTTAAAGAATTGTTATAAGTTATAAGGGACAAAGAAAAAATCAATTTTACATTTGAGAAACAAAAAGTATTTTAATGTATCAGGTAATTTAATTTTTTTTTATAAAAATTATAATTTTGATCTCGAAAAATGAGATTTTTCGAAAATCAAAATTGATTTGAATTTTAATTATTATTATTTATAAATCAAAATTGTTACACTTAATTATATTTTTTCAGTCTTTTCAAAAGACAGCTTATTTATAAAAAAAAAAAATATCTATCAAAAGTTTATATTGCATTTATAATAGATTAAATAATAATTTCTTACTGGACCCACGTAACTAAATTTCTTCTGTCTGAAATTGAGACTTTGCAACAGCCTGCAAACAGTTAATAAGCAAAAACATTATATTTAAAATTAAGCAATAAAATTTGAAATTTACAAATAAAATGATAAATAAATATATATTCTAAATAATCAGCCAATGTACAATTAAAACCGTCGATCCCTGATCTTACAGTATACAAAAATAAAAAAAAAAAAAAAAATATAAAATAAAATTAAAACTAATTATCATCTTTGTCATTTTGTTTAGATATTTTAACTGCTGAGAATTGCTGGCCAAGTATCTTCATGACTCCTTGGTGGTTACTGTCTTTACATTCTTTTCTAACAGTACCGTAATTTTCTTTTACGAACAGAGCAAACCCACTGGGTTGCTTGGCATTAGGTGTTTTAAGTTCTACTCTACCTGATCTAGTTGTCCGATTGACCAGCAATTCAAACTTTCCAAAACAATGACCGCATCTTTTTCTTGAGATATCCAATGACTTTGAATGACGTCCAATACTATTAAAAAAAAAAAAATATTTTACAATTAAATAAACTGAGATCAAAAGGAGTATCACCAAATTATATAAATTGCTCTAATCAAGTCTAAAATCTTCTATAATTAATTTAAATCAGAATGTTGTAGACCAAATTGATGTTACGTTTTTTATTTCATTTATTTTAACATGCGACGTTTCGTCAGTTTTATTCTGACATTATCAGGCACCTTAAAATTTTACAATATATAGTCGCATGTTAAAATAAATGAAATAAAAAACATAACATCAATTTGGTCTACAATATCCTGATTTAAATTAATTAATTATATAAATATATAGCTCTTACCTATATCCACAATCAACACACCGATAAGTGTATTTAGTTGTAATTTTATAATCATGACATCGCGTAATAGGCGGTAACTCTGGAAATACTTTAAGAGCTTTAGAAGCCCAAGATCTCCAATAAAGCCCATGTCCATCAGAAATTTCATTGATCAACCAAGTAGCAGCATGACACATCTCGTGAATAAGCGTATCTCTAAGCCTATTAGGCTCATCCAGAATTTTACTCGACAAAACAATACGTGAAGATCTTTCCGGCTTTCCAATAGCGCTCCTGATCATTTTGTTGTAGCAAAATCCAGCGGTTCTGCGCATTCTGGCGTTCCACTCAATTGACATGTTCTCAGGTAATTGACTATCAAATACTTTTTCATTAAAAATTTTGTACAGTCGCTGGCAAAGTTCATCTTTAGTTAACTTATAATTCAATCTATACTTCTTAGCTTCCGGGTGAACTTTCTCCAACGCCACTTCCTTGGACAGTGATTTGATAAAGCTCGCTATCACAGCAGGTTGCTTGAAAACCACAGGTGACAATTTAGACGTCGGCAAATTTTTAACTCTCGACACAGGTTTCGGTAAAATAACTTCACCAGGGTCATACTCACTCGTAAAAGATCCAGAACTTTTGTCATCGCCAAAAGACAGTCTTTTCCTGGTATTTTTAACCACCGGAGTTTTATCATCATCAGAGTCTGAATCACAGATCTCGATAACTTTTTTCTGCAACTCAGACATCGGAGTTTCTTTACGTCGGATGGTGTGACTCGGTGGAATAGGAGTACTCAACGCTGTTACAAAAGAAGTTTCAACAGCATCATCTTCAGAGCTAGGCCAGTCGTTTATGAAACTGTCCCGTATATTCCTAACATTCGGCGGCGGCTTCTTCTCTTTCCGCGAAATAACAGGCTTTATAGACTTGACAATTTTATCAGACCTTCTTCGGGCAGTGTCATGAACTTTCTTCTTTACTTTGTCAGTTCGTGGTGCTGTCCTAGATTCCTTAGGTAGGAGAGCATCAGCATTCTTGCGCCAGGAATCACCATAAAGTCGAGTTAAAATATCTTCACAGTCCTCAATCCTCAAACTAGGTGCATTAGTGTTGGAAGAATCATTCGTGGCCTGATCTTCAGACCTTGGAGTCTTGGCTGCAGTCTTCGTTATAGAAAGAGGAGTTAAATTTTTAGGTGTCCTAGGTCTGGGTTTGGTTTTCTTCACAAAATTATCCATCGTTTTTTGTACTGGTTTATTCAAGCTCTTAGAATTTCCTCCAGTGCTTGGCGTATTTATATTTTTCCTATCAACTGCTTCTAAACGTTTCAAATTACCTCCACTAATTGGTGTAGCAACTCTCGACCTGCCCGGTTCTGAACGTTTAAAATTACCTCCAGTACTCGGTGTATTAGCTTTAGACGTCGGTTTTAAATTTCCTCCAAGATTTGGAGTATTTCTGTCAACATTTTTCTTCCAAGCTGGCTCTAAACGTTTAACATCACCAGTACTTGGCGTACAGACTTTTGTCCTCTGAACGGGCTCCAACTGTTTCAATTGTCCTCCAGCAATCGGAGTGTTATCATTTGTTTTAGAATTAACACTAGTAGCTGAATTTATCTTCGCCTGAAACTTGGTGCGATTATTCGGAGTCTGATAATTATGCTCGAGTCTTTCAAGACTGCTGTTACCAGAGCCAGGACTGTTTGGTTGAGAAGGACCGATGATGCTCAAAGAAGTATCACTTCTTTGATCAAAAGCAGTGGACATCAGCCAGCGTGCGATATCTTCCTTCTTGCGTTCACTCGGTGACAACGACTGACGTTCTATGGGATTAAGATACCCAATAACACGTGTCTCAGTAACATTTATTGCCGGTCTTTCACAATCTTCCTCTTTATTGTCACAATCATCTTCCCGGGAGTCCGATATCTCCGAAATTGTTTCGTCGATCCAAGCCGGATGTTGAAATTCCGATTGATCCTCTTTCTTGCTTTCACTCGATGAATTACTGGTTTCCAACTCAGACTTGTTAATTATGTCCTTGTTCCGCATCAGACCCGGTGAGTTGTAATTATTCGGAGCTTTATTTTTCTGCCACTGTCCGGGAGAATCGTAAACAATGCGCTTCGATTTAACTGCTTTTAATATCTCACGCGTTGCTTTTTTATTTACCGGCGTTGCCGGGTTTCGTTTTGTGAAACCCGGAATTATGCGAGCGTCGTTAGTTTGTTTGCTTAAGACTTTGTCAACACTCGAGCCCTTTGTCTCTGCTGGTACACGTTCACGCTTGTCGCTCATTGGCTCGAGTTTTTTCCGATCGGCGCTAGCATTATTCCTCGGGCTCGGGTTCGGCAATTTAGTTAGACTTTCCGAACGCATTATTTGATTTATATTTGGCGTTCTTAAATCTTTTTCCGATAAATAATTAAACCCGAGTGGGGTGCCATTCCCACTGTCATTGGTTACCGATCCATTGTTTCTTCTATCGTCGTTGTTCAGCTGAGTTGATGTAAATATATAGTTTGTTTTAGGTTTTTTATGACTCTCGTCTTCAGTCAAAATATCAGAAGAATTTATGCTACTGATAGTCAACGATGGGGTTCTTTTAGTCTCACCAATTTTTTTTGACGGCAAAATTGTATTACCTTTGTTATTTGCTGGCGAAAATGATTCATCATCACTCGAGTCGCTTATTATTATAACTTCAGAAGATTTAACTTCCTGTGTCTTTTTATTATTATGATTTTTATTATTTTCATCAGAAGTTTCTCTGACAAAAATACTGTCTGTTACTTGCAATACAAAATCTTGCGAGTTGTCACAGTCTGATGTTATATTTAATATTTTGTCATATATTTTATTGTATCTATCACTAATGCTACTTAAATTCTTGTCATTGTCATTGTCATATATTTTATTCTCAACTGATAGTGGATATCCTGAAACAAAATAAAATTATTAATTTACTTACATAAACAGTAATTTAAAAATTTAATTAAAAATAATATATACTTACGTCTATTTGTCGTTTGTCCTTTTGTATTATTGCATTTTTCCATTATAAATATATATAATTATTTATTTAATAAGTAATAAAAAATATTTATCAAATAATAGAGTGTATAATAATTATCAAATCTAAGTTTAAAAGTAAATGTAGTCATAAAAATATTGTGCCGAGTATACAAACACATCAGCAAATAATTTTTTTTAAGGTTTTATTAAATTTATGAACTATCACGTATCAGCTGATAAATATTTGTAGCACTTAACATCGAATTTATTTATTTTTAACTGTTGTTATCACTAATATTTAATTATTATACAAATAAATTCAATACTACACGTGTTTTTATTGTTTGCAGGGATCAACAACTTTTTAAAGCGTCGTCAGCTGATTTTTCCGTTAAAATTTAACCGTTGATACCAACTTCTTAAATTTTAAATGGCAATATAGATGGCAGAGCCGAGTGTTTCAGTTTATTAAAAATAAATTTACTACTCATAATTTATAAGTACTTATTAAATATTTTTTATTTTAAAAATCTTACAAGATTTTTTTTTATATTTTTTACATTATCTGTTTGTAGCAAAATTACAAATCTACTGACATTTTTACTCCAAACAAGTAATTACATCTTAACTTCAGTATCTTAACGTAAGATAGATCTACTATCCACTTTCGCACGATTAACAAAATTATTTTTGTAAAGATTCTAAATTTTTGTATTTTTTTTATCAAATACATAAATTTTTATTCAATCTTAAATATAGATTCATTAAAAATTAAAATATATATATATATAATATATTTATATTTTAAACAAGATACTTAAAAGAATTAATTTACTTAAGATTTAATTCTTTAAAAAAAATTAGTAGACAAATTAAAAGTTTTAATAATTAAATAAAGAATATAAAAAAAATCAACCTAAAGATAATTTTTAAATATTTACATAAAAGTTATCTATTAATTTATATAAAAACTTTTAATTTATCTCAATTAAAAAATATATTTTCAACTAAATTTTATTAATAATTTATGATGGTGAAATCAGCGGACACCTAAAAAATTTATAATTTTTTTTTTTATAATTTATAGAATTTTTTATAATTTCTGCATGTGAAATTAAAAAAAAAAAATTATTAGACGTCTGCTGATTTCAGTTCCATTGATAACTTTCGATTTCTTGTTGCAAATGTTACTATTCTTCAGAAAACTTTCTTAAATCCGAGCTGACATCAAATAAAATCGAAAATAATACAGCTATTATTTTTCAGTGAATTAATATCTGAAAAATAGAAACAATATAGTAACAACTTGGCTATAGTAAATATATTAAAATAAATATGATACTGAAGTTAGCAGACAGCTGTCAATTTTTCAAGTTCTTATAACAAATCAATGACAGTAATAAAAATGCTTGTAAAAATTTTCACCAATAATTTTTTTTAATTTTCACTAGTGAAATTTTTTTATTAAATTTTTTCAAAATAATTTCAATAAAAATTAAGTTAGCCAATATTTAAAAATTAAAAAAAAATTTTTTATTGAAAAAAATTTATAAATATAAATGAAAATAAAGTTAGCCAATATTTAAAAATTAAAAAAAATTTTTTATTGAAAAATGACTACAAAAAAAAAAAAATAGGAAAAAAAATTCATTTGTAAAAACTTAAAAAACTGTCAGTGCATCAAAAATTAAAACGTCGGCTAACTTTAGTATCATGAAAATTAAGTTAGCTGACATCTAAAAATTTTTAGAATTTTTTTTTATTGAAAAAATTATAATAAAAAAAAAATTTCAATTGTAAAAAACTTGAAAAACTGTAAGTGCAATTTTTAAAAAATAATTTTTTGTTCTAATTTAATTATTGAAAAAAAATTAAAAAATTAAAAACGTAGGCTAACTTTAGTATTATATAATTTCATTGTTATAAAATTATAATAAAATTTCTAATATCAGTTAACTTCAGTGTCATAAATAAATTTTTAATACTACCGTGTATGATTCTGGAGATGTATGTTTTACTCTGAACCTTCATCGGAGGGCAACCACCAGGAAAGTGGACCTAACCCTGGCTCATCGACGGCACCTTCCAAAACAAAGGGTGAAATTTTTTCCTCAGGCTGTTGAGTCCCTTCATTAGTTGTACTTTTACGAAGTGGTGTTTCAAAGAACTTAGACTCATAAACTCTGAATCGCACCAGCTCGTCGCGGTCCATATAGAGGGGATGCGTTTTTCCGTCCCCAACGTCATATTCCCAGATCCAAACTCTATCTTTGGAGTCATATCTCGACGGACTCTGAAGTTTTGATGGAGGAATTATGATATCGTCAAAAAACCCAAGACTCACTACAACACCTTCCTCACTGCAGCTACGAATTTTCCCAATGAGGATTTCTTCTTTGAAAGGCTTGAAGACGACATACCGGAAGACGACTTTTGTGTGCGATGATCCGTCGCCAGGAAAAATAAAAGACTCTTCTATTTTCTCAATATCGAACAAAGTAATGCAGAGGCCAATGTTTAAGAATACTTTGTTGGAAAGTTTGTTGTTCAATTCTTTTGCTATTGCCTCATTAAAATTCCCCTTAAAATCTTTTGGGGATATTTTAACTACATCTTTAAATCTTGTAAGGATAAACATTTTGTTTGCTTTATTTACAAAAAAAAAATAAAAAAAAAAAAGATAGAAATATAAATACTCTAAAATTAATCAAAGTTAGACACACGTGTGTGTTGTTTGGTTACACACTTCCACTTGTTATTAACCTCAAACACTCACTTTGAGTTTAATAACATAATAAACACAAGCACATGTCAGCTGATAGAGATATAGAGATAGAGACCTCTACAATATTTCCCTTCAACTGTATTGATTTCAAATGTAGTTTAAAATTATAATTAGTTATTTAATGAAAATTAAGTTAGCCGAAAGAAATTTAAAAATTTTTACTGTTTTTGATGACATTAAAGTTAGCAATAACTCGACCATTTTTTAATTTTATTCAAGAAAAAAATTTATTCTGAAAAATTACTTTAAAAAAATTGCATTTTTAATTTCTTTCAATTTTTTTTTCTTATATTTTTTTGCCATAATTTATTTGATAAAAAAATTCTTAAAACTATCAATTAACTGCTAAATTAATTTTCATCAATTTTTGTTATCAAAAAAATTGAAAAAAAAAATTTCATTTGTAAAAAATTTGAAAAACTACACATGCAATTTTTTAAAAATATTTTTTAGTTCTAATTAAATAATTAAAAAAATCAAAAAATTAAACGCATCGCTTAACTTTAGTATTTATAGTTATTTATCATAAAATATTAAAAAAAAAATTTCCTAATAATTTTTACATGATAGTTAAATTTAGATAAATTCATGATACTAACATCAGCAGACATCTAATTATTTTTTTTATTTTTATTACAAATTAAAAAAAAAAATATGTTTAAATAATTTTCACTTGTAATTCTCTTGAATTTTTAGATGTAGAATTTTTTTTATAAAAATTCAACAAATTTCAGTACCTACAAATTCACAATTTTTTGAAAAAAAATTACAGAAGAATTTTGCATCTACAATTTTTATTTCAATGTGAAAAAAAAAAATAATTTATTAGTTTAAAAAAAATCAATCTTACACAAAATAAAAATTTACATGATAATTAAGCAGCACTCAGAGCTAGAGGATCATCTTCATTAATTTGATAATCAAGAATATCAACTTTTGTCAAATGATGCCTTTGCCTATGAACTTTAAGTGATCCAGGTTGACTAAAACTTTGTTTGCAGATATCGCACGTGTAAGGTCTTTCACCAGAATGCACTCGCTCGTGTCGAATAATATGGCTTTGGTGATGAAAGCTTTTTCCACAAATTTTACAAGCATACGGTCGTTCATTAGTGTGCGTTCTTATGTGAGACTTCAAATCAAATTTCTTAAAAAACGATTTCCCACACTCTGAACATTTGAAGTTACGTTCCTTCAAATGATCTCTCTTGACGTGTTCCTAAAAAATATAAATTATTTTATCCTTGCAATAATAATAATAATAATAATAATAAAAACTAGTTAATAATTTAAATACTTAAATACTTCCTTACATTAACTTGAGACAAAGTACTGTAAACCTTTGGACAAATCTCGCAAACAAACTTCAAAGGTCCATCAGGCCGATGATTACCAGCAATATGTTTATTAAGCGTCGACTTCCAAGCAAAAGAAATTCCACACTGTTTACACTGGAATTTTTTTTGATCAACAGAGTGAGTTCCTGCATGCTGTTTCAAGTTTGAAGTCGAAGAAAAAGATTTATTGCAAACAGTGCATCGGTACTTCGGTTTTACCAAATCTTTTATCCGCAACTTACCTTGCGATTTTGGCTTACACCGTTTTTTACGAACGCTATCAGCAGTCACGGAAGCCATCGCTTGACTAGTGACTCCCGAGAAAATATTTTGATTTTGATTTTGTAAATTATTATCATGACTTTCAAAGTGAACTGTATCACGGACTAGTTCAAAAAACTGTTCTCCTTCCTCATTTTGTACCAACCGTACCAACGGTGTTTGAGTCTGAACTTCCTCGTTGTTAAAATCTACGACCAGGTCATCGGACCCGCGATAACCCTCGGGATTTTGATCTATCGGTTGTAGTTGCAAATTTTCTAACAAATTAATGCTGGTATCTTTTAATTGTTCAAGTACTGAATTAACTGTCGACTGCAAATCCCACTGCTCATTTAAATCTTTATCGACAACTGCTATCGGCAGCGTGTATGATTTATCAACACAGTAATTTATATTATTAAAATGATTATCAGGTAATATCACATTATCATGCAGCTCCAATGAATTAAGTCCTAAATTATTTAAATAGTCAGACTCGCAAACTTCTATTAAAAACTGATTTTTCTCTATATGAACACAGTTTGGATTATTAACACTATTATTACGTATTTCTCTGTTTGAAATTTCTAAATTTGTAAATTTTTTAGCCATTTCAGTTCCGACGTCTTCGCGCTGCATAAGATCTGTCGTTGGTAATTCCAATTCATCACAATAAGGACTTAGGATATCAGAAATGTCAATACTTTCATCACGGACTGGATGAATACGCTCCAAAAAATTGTCAGCATTAAAACATGCATTTCTTGTTTTATCTTCATTCTGCGACACCTAAAACATTGTTTTTATTCAATTATTTCCACGGCTAAATTAATTAATTTAAATAAATATAATCTATATTATTAAGAGAATGAGAAAAATTTTGTATCCAGAATAGTCAATGATAAAATCAATTTTTTTTAGTTAAATTTAGTGTCATTGCAAAGGTCTTAATTTGAATTTGTGCCTTTTCAAAGTTTCATATCATTCTCACCGATAGTAAATTTATGATGATAAGTATTTATTTAGGCTGCATTCAACAATGCTCTCTAGATACCTCTATCTCTAGATACATAGTTAAGGAATGACCTTGTATCTCGTGAACTATTGACATTTTTAAAGATATAAGCTCATCTTGAGATTACACTCATCGAGACATTTCATTTGAGTACCTACATCAATTTTTCATATATTTTTATAATTTATATAT